GTGTGTGTGTGTGTGTGTGTGTGTGTGTGTGTAGGATAAAGGTGTCCGTGGTCGGTGCTATCTTCCCTGTAATTTAGCAGATTCTGTCTTTGATCTGGCTTTTGATATGAGGACTGAAAAGGGATAATCGGTGCTTGTAAAGAGAGCCCTTTGGAGACGGAGATTTTCAAAGCACCTTAAAAGCTCACAAACCCCTCTGTGAGCCCCTGCTTTGTGCAGCACTTTGGTCCCATTAGCGAGTTATTCTTTAGGACAGCGGGTTGGGTGCTCATGCACCTGCACTCAAACACCTGATAGTTTCTCAGTGTTGACCTCGTTTATTACTGGACTCTGCTGTTAGCTGCAAGACCCCTAACTTACCCAGACTGCATGCTTTGTGAAGCTGATCTGAAAATGCATGTCTGTCTGCCGCTGTCCTTTATTGATGTGCGGGTTTCTCTCCCTCCGCCCCCTCCCGCCATCGCCGCACTGTTAGACGCTACTGGCTTCCTGCAGGTGAGAGCACTGAAAGACTTCTGGAATCTACACGACCCCACGGCCCTCAACATCCGAGCTGGGGACATTATCATGGTAGGCCGCAGGGAGAAATGCAAATAAGCCATTATCTTTGCCTCATGCTTTGAATGTTGTTTTGAATGGTAAATTTGCTGCCATTTTCAATTTCCTGAGGGGTGTTGGAAAAGAGGTGTGAATGACGTGTCTGGAAAGGAAATGACATCACGGTTTACTGTACCCGGTAGCATAGGTACATTACCGTACTTCGTGCCCCTCCCCATTTTCTTTTGGTCATCTCTCCTATAGGGAATGAACTACATAGGGCAGCCTGTGCAGTCTTGTTAGTGAGCATGAGTTCTCAGATGCTTGAGTTTGTGTAGCTGACTCCTGCCCATCTGGGACTGGCTGTCAACATTTTGAACGCATGCCGTTCACGTTGACTTGCCGTCTGCTTCATGCCTGAGCCCACGGGCCTGTCGATGCTTGAATGGGCGTTAAAAGACACGAGGCATGATCTTCGGCACGTGTTTGAATCTTGGTGTGTTCGTGCGTATTCGTGTTTGTTTTGGATGCTCCACTTGCCACTCCCACACCTGTCTCGGTTCACTTCAGTCTGCCTCCTGTTGAGCTTTACGTCTTAGATAATCATGAGGTGTCCCTCAAACGTGCTGCTGGACTGAAAATTACTTGCATATTTAATTGTACCTTCATGAGGCCACCCTCTGGATTTCTCAAAGTGGGATAAGCTTGTAGGTTTGGTATAGGTCATGTTTTGTTGTTGTCACAAATTACAGTTTCCTTAGGAAAATGCTTTTCTGATGAGTGTTGGTCATAAAAGCTGAGCGGCAAGCAGAGACAGGCAGAATGACTCGCCAGCTCAAGTTAATTAGAAACTCGAGATCGTACAACACGATATGAACTCTGTCCAGGGGTTACTTGCCTTTGCCCTATACTGCTTGTCTTGTCTGGACTCCATTGACCAAGCTGTTTACTCCCTTGCTGCTCTTCAGAAGTGCAATCTAAGGGGCTCTTCTGAACATCTCAGACCCCTCCGAGTCTGGTCTCCCGGTAACCTCGAGCTTGTTTGGTTCGTCTGAGAGTACAGGAGCTGGCAGGGAGCTTGTGTGTTAGTTTTTCCTTTGGGTCGGGACACGTGTGTCGTGGAGCCGGCATTGCATAGTGCAGAGCACGGCAGCTTTCCTCCTCCTGCTGTCGTTCACATGGCTGGGCCCTTGAGGGCCTGTTCTCTCCTAGGTAGGCTAATGTAGCAATACAGCTACATAAATAAATAAAGCTTCACCAGCTGTCACTGACTTTACGTCTTAACTGAATAACAGCGCTCTATTCTGTCCAAGTTTTTTATGTGTCAGTCCTGAACTGTGAAAGTCTACACAGCGGATAATTGTTTCATGCATTGTGAAAACTGCGACGACAGGAATATTTGGGGAACCCTGTGCTTATGGTGAAATTGGCCCGGTTACTATCTAAAGAATGTAAGTCTGAAATCCAGCTTATGTTGTGTCACTGCAGGAAAGAGAACTGAGCATCGCAAACCAAAAAGATAATTCAGAATAAGAATAGAGCAGGCATGAGCTGACGTTCTGCATTGAAGCACATTAAGGCTTTATTGTGACTGTTAACCGTTAAACAGGTGCTGGAGCAGCACATGGACGGCCGCTGGAAGGGGCACATCCACGACAGCCAGAGGGGCACCGACCGTGTCGGCTACTTCCCCCCCTCCATCGTCGAGGTTATCAGCCGGCGTGCAGGTCAGCCGCTGCCTTTCCCTTTGCTGGGTGACTGTTCATTTTTACGACTGCCTCCCTGTGCCCTTTGACACGCCTCTGGTGATATGCACGCTGACTTGTCAACTTATCGAAGACCAGCTGCATTGTACGTGCCACATGCCCTGCCACATGTCGGTCACTTTTGCATTATGATGTAGATAGAAGCGGCGACCTCTGTGTGCTTTGCTGTGACGTCAGCAGGGAGAGCCGGTGTCACCAGGCCGGTGTTTACGGTACAGCTGCCCTGCCTGTGAGTGGCATCTGTGATGCTGAAATACTTAACGGGGCAGGAATCTCACAACCGTGACCCCTTTGCTCTCTTCAGGGTAGACCATGTGACTCCGCAGGCTGCCGCACATGTCACTTTAGTAACTTCTTCCCTGCTGTAATGAAGATCAGAGCTGTACATTATACAGAATCTGAGACATGCCTACCCTGCAGCACAGTGCTGCCCCAGGGCAGTGCTCTGTCATACTGATCATCAATCATGTTTCCAGCTCACTGCTGCGTGAGAAGGTGAATGGCCAAAAAACAAAACAGCCATGAATAAACTCTGAGTCGGCTCATTGTGTAAAGTAGACGGGCCCTATCTCTTGTCCCGTCATGTCTGGGTGGAGTTTTGGCCTGTGCTGGTGTAAGCATTTCCTGTTGGGGAGCACTTCCTCCTGGCGTGCCTAGGCTCCTGCTGCACAGCCCACCGCCTACCTCTGTTAGTGAATGTATCTCTGTGCACCATCAGATGTGCACGAGGGCTGCCGTCTGGCTGCTGATGGCGTGGTGACCAGGTTTGACTGAGGATAGGGGCGTGGCTGCCTGGAGCTGACCTCCAAATGGGCACTACCAAGCATTCACTTCCAACCCTGTAGTGACTGACCAAGAGCATCTCCTACCCCATGTAGTAGCTTATCCTGCTCACCCAGGTGTCCATGTTGACTAGAGGTGGGCAATTTGACCTAAAATTATTATCACGGTATTTTCTCCTTTTTGGACAGTGACAGTACAGTGGTACCTCAGTTCTCGAACTTAATCCGTTCAGAACTCTGGATTGAATCCTAAAAAGTTTGAGTTCCGATCGAATTTTCCCCATAAGATATAATGGAAAAACAATTAATTGGTTCCCGGCTCCAAAAAATTACATCTAAATATGTTTTTTTTTTTTAGCATTTAAACACAAAATGAACTGGATAAAACAAGAAGAGCATATACTGCACTAAACACATCTAAGCACATGTATCAAAACAGTAATTTGTAAAGTAAGAAAATAAATGTATCCAAACAATGTGCCCCGATCGCCCGCTCCTTCCATGTGCCATGCCCCCTCGTTAACCCCGTGTGGAATCCCCGTGTGATCAGCTGTTTCTGGTTGTTGTCATTAGTCCTCTGTATTTCGTCCGCGTTTCAGTTTGTTTCCCCAGTCCGGTCATTGTATTGTCCATCTGCGTTTTGCCTGCCTTACCTGTAACTACACCCCGTATTCCCCGATATCCTGACATCTGCGCCTTTATCTCCGTTCCGTCCCCGCTGGGTACGACAATATTATTATAATTAAATGTATTAATGGTTTATTTTTAATATAAAAATAATTAATAAGAAATCTTTATTTTAAAATGTATTTTATTATATAATAATAATTATTGTTACTGTCTATCATTGTTTAAATATATTTTTACTGTCTCAATATATGTATTCAGCTAGTGTAAACATGCACGATGCTATCACAGCGAATGCGAGGCTGAGACTGAAGCGTTACCCTTTGTTTCTGCTGAGAGACGTGCCGCGTGACTCATTTCCCCGCGCGTACAAGTTATCTTAGGTCGGCGTTCATGGTTTGACTTCTGAGATTCAGATCGAGTACTAGGTAATTTTTTTCCGAACGGGTTGTTTCGACCTTTAAGAAATTCGAGTTCTAATGAGTTCGAGAACTGAGGTACCACTGTATTGTATCGCGGTACTACTTTTTTCCATGTTTTGGGAGGAGTAGTATGTACTGTCCCTTTATACAAATTAAAAGAAATATTTTATAATATACTAAGTACAGTTTAATTGCTATTACAGTTTCGTATGGACAATTTTATTTAGACAAGATAGAAAGGTGATGTTTTGTCATATTTCTTTTATAATTGTCAGAGTAACAACGCAAAGGGAATGACAAGCCATGTCAGCCGAAAACAGTGCATTTTACTTTTTATTTCAAATAAAACGCAGGGTTGCCATCTTTGATCAGCTGTCTGTAGTGAGATTTTCGATTCCAGACAAGTCTGCACACTCATGCACATGCATTTACATGTATGTCACAGTTTTATTACCTTGTAAATAGTTTTTAGGGCTTGGAAACTACCCCAATGCTTTGATGTAGCTAATTTTAGGTTTATGTAGATTTGCCGTAAGATTTCTTGCGTGAGCATGCAAGTCTGAAAGCATGAGTGTTACACCAGATGCGTGAGAGCTGACAACCCTGTACATGTACATGTTTTAATTGTTTCTCCTGAGTTGATTTGTATAAGAAATAACTTTATGCCGTTGTTAAATAACGCAAACTTTGATGAACATGAAGTCACCAATAAACTGCGTCTATTTATCCAACAATATAAAATACATAATGCGTCTGGAAATTTTTAAGCTTTACAATTTCAGGCCACTCAGTTAGGAACCCTATGGCTTTTTGATTAAGGGTGTTGGATTCGCTGCTGTTATTAATACACGGCACATTAGCGCAAATAAAAGGGCTGCATAAGCCGAAGTGTGTCTTGCGTAGCGGTTAAATAAGTTTGATGTTCATTGATATGGGAAAGGGGTGGTTCTAGTGTCAACTAGGTAGCTGTGTCTACCTTGCATGATTGTGGCACATATATATGCTAATGTAGCGAATATGTTGTACTCTGTAATTTGCTACTATACATATATGTAACTAGGTTATTGTTTAATGTGAATAATCACGTCCCACCCCTATTGTTGACTCCCCTCACCACACCACATGGTCACTGATGTCCCCCTAGTGGCGAGTGGAACAGCGGCATCACTTTGAGCTTTACTCACTCTCACCCGCTCACACACTGGGGTCCGCCCCCAAACTGGGGTCCATCACATCGCCTCAAACCAGGCGCTTTCTACACTTATTTTTAGGTTTTCTAAGTCCCACTCTGAGTGGGATGAACATTTCCTGGTTGTGACAAAACAGACACGGTTTGTGCTCTGTGCCTGCTGTGAGCTGCTTCCTCCGTAAAAGGAAAAAATAACCTGCTGTTTGTCCATGTGGCCAACAGGGGGCATAATGCTATGGAAAATGACACTGTCACTAGAAATGTTTAAATCATCGGAAGGGGAAGTTTTTGAGCAGCATTCCTAATAGGGATCTCATGTACAAGAATTGGTATGAGATCAATGTAAGCTATGCTTAAGCAATTAAGTAAAACGTTTTGGGAAGTCCAGCTCTTGCCTTCAGTACATAGGCTACATGTGTGTGTATGATGCTGTCTGGTACTGGCATGAAGAGTGAAATTAATTCATGATATTGACAAAACATATTTTCCAGCATGATGATCATTTTCTAGTCTTCCCAGTCAAGAGAGAATCTGCAAAAGGAGCCCATTGTGTCCAGGCTGTTGGCAGACGGTGCCTCTGTGCCCTTCCAGCTGCCCCCAGTCCGCCCCAGTCTGCTCCAGCCCGCTCCAGCGCTTTCTAACCATTGACCTCCCATCCTCTTTTCTTTACATTTTCCTTCTGTCATTTGCTTTCCTTTACCATAAACCATCCTCTGTAATGATCTCACCCAGCCCTGTGTCATCATTCCATTCCTTTGTACTAAAAGCAGCTCCCATCTCGCCCTCTGTGATCTTTCCACCTGCAGGGGGCACCCTCTCCAGGCACGCCTCCCTACCCAACCAGCGCCAGCTGTTCCTATCCAGAACACCCCTTGCCACCAGTCTGAGCTCCGCCCCCCAGTCTGATGACTCCTACATGTTGTACGCAACCCCCTCTCACCTCACCTTGCCCCGCACCAACGGCCTGGATGACAATGCAGGTAGAGTAGGCAGGGCGGTTGATGTTCTCTGTCTCTGTCTCTCACATGCAAAACTCTTCTGGGCAAAGCAGGCAGTCATTCCTCACATACCCCCTCACGCCGTCGTCCGTGTGTGGTGAGGTCATGCAGTGCGCAGTGGGCTCCTCCCACAACGGGCCCATCCCCCCAGCCTCCTCCACCCTGGGGTACGGAGCACCGCTCCATGGCCCACGAAGTGTTTGTGTTTGCTAGGTATGCGAGCCGGCAGCCCCGCCCTCCTCTCTGAGCCGGCTTGTCCCAGTGAGGACATATGGGTCCTCAGAAACTCAGTCGCTGGTAAGAGTCACCCCAAAACCTATGGGCCCTCCATAACCCCCCTCCTCACCCCGCTGGCCGCATTCATCCTCCAGTGCGCTTGTCATTGCCCGTTCTCTTATGCTGCCCGTTGCCATGACAGTGATGGGAATCCTGGGTATACCTGGAGTAGCCTTAAAGAGAAGAGCTTCTTTTCACTGGATCCCCGCCCCCCTAATGGTTATACCGCCCCCCCCAGTCCTGCTGCCCACCTGCTCTAGCCCCCCACCCATTTTCTGTACAGGTATACTGATAGCGCTTCCGCAGCCTACACGTATCAGTGCCCTCCCCCAGTTCCCAAAAATAAACCTCTGTGTCTCAGAAGACACTGGATGCCTTAATGCCCGCTTGCTCGTGGAGGCCCAGAGCCCCGCAGTGCTTTGCCGCTCTCTCTGCGTTTTTCCTCCGTTTCATTTTCCACTGATATATGGTAAGTGACGACTCCTGTGGGCCGAGGCTCGGTCCAGCTCTGAACAGGGTCACAGGCAGCCAGGTGACCCCTCCCTGTGTCTGTCTCCCCTTTGACTCCCCTCCCCACAGCTGGGGACAGGAACAGCGTGGGCAGTACGGGCAGTGTGGGAAGCACTCGCAGTGCCGGAAGCGGGCAGAGCACGGAGAGCAGCCACGCCCCCAACGGCGCGCAGCACGCCGCCGGAGCCGGCGACCTCAGCAAGGTGCCGTACGCGACCTGACTCCGCTCACTTTCATATGGTTGCATTCAGTGCCTGTGATACTTTAATCTGCACCTTTACATATATATGGTGTTTATTATCGCTGCCAGCCAACAAAATGGGATCGGTGGTATCTAAGACCTTGGGAAAGTGCTGGTAGCCTAACACCCAGTGCCATGTGACGTTTTTGTATGCAGCAGCTTCCCCCTGTCTGTGATCAGATGGTACAGAAGCTCAGCTCAGGATCTGACCCAGTCAAGCAACCCGACCCGCTTCAAGGTCAGTTGTCCGTCTTCTCCTTCCTGCTGTCTTAGCATTCACATAATTTCTTTGCAGTATCTCCTTCCAGGAATCAAAGACAGACGTGGTAATGCTCATGCCTGATTGCCAGATGCCTGATAAATATGGGGGCTCCTCGCACTGAGGGGGTCCTGACGCTGTGTCACTGTGAATGCAGAGATATCTGACTCGCCCTTCTGCTTTGCCCTTCTGGGGTTTAGGTGGCTCACGGCGACAGAACCTGAACAGCCTGAGAGCTGTGGAGCAGGGCTTCACCCAGCAGTTTGTCCGTCCTGAGCAGCTCCTCGAGGGCAGGGTGAGGAGTCCATATCCAGAAGGCTCTTGCTTAAAATCCCATATCTGGCAGAATATAATCTTTCTTGAGCAAGGCCTTAAACCCCAACTTCTCCAGGGACACTAACTGAACCTACTTTCCCCAAGTTTTCTTCACTTGTCCATTGCTTTGGACTGGTAGGATTAAGGTGTCTGGTGAGTGAAAGCATTTTTTTTCCTTTTTTCAGGATGCAGAGGCCATCTACCAGTGGCTGAGTGAGTTTCAGTTGGAGCAGTACACAGGCAACTTCCTCAGCGCTGGCTACGACGTGCCCACCATCAGCCGCATGACGCCTGAGGTAGGGCTGCTTACCAGGGTTGTCCCAGTCACACCATCTCACCTGTGTGCTTTCCGTTCCTGCTCCCGTTGGTTCTCTTTATGTGTCTCGTGAAGTTGTTTTCTCCGTGATCTTGGGATGTTTAATTGGGTGGATGAAATTTGACTTGGTGCTGTGTGTGTATCTTTGTTTTGTGCAGCTGCTGTGTTCTAACGGAAATCTGGTTTCTTTCAGGACCTTACTGCCATTGGGGTGACCAAACCAGGCCATCGCAAGAAGATCTCCATAGAGATCGGAAACCTGAGCATCCCAGAGTGGCTGCCGGACTACATGCCGGTGAGATGCCCTTTGAGGGGGTGATTTGCATGGGAGCTAATCTCATCTCGTATTCCTGCCATATATCTAATAACTACAAGGTACCGCAGAGTTCTGCCGGTAGTCCTGTAAGACCAGGCTTTTGCCCCCCTTGATGTATTGGTCTTGACTATTGCTGTTTCCCCTTTTTTTAGTCGGACCTCACTGAGTGGCTCAGCGCCATCGGGCTGCCTCAGTACCACAAGAAGCTGTCAGAGAATGGCTATGACTCCATCAGCATCGTGAAGGACATCACCTGGGAGGACTTGCAGGAGATTGGCATCACCAAGCTGGGTGAGCGCACGTGATCCCCAGCCAGCCTTCTCGCTGTCCCATGGGGTCTGTGTCCGAGATCCAGAGGCCGTCATGCCGGTGTCCTAATCTAACTGCCGTTGCTCTGCTTACATCTCCTCAGGCCACCAGAAGAAGATAATGCTGGCAGTGAAGAGGCTGTCTGACATCCAGAAAGCCCACAGCCAGGCAGAGGCGGGCCAGGGAACGCTGCGCCGGAAGCTGCCCGCTGCGCTGGACTTGGTGGCCATTGAGTCCCTGGAGAGCGGGGAGTGTCCCTCACCCCACACGCCCAAGATGCTGACTTTCCAGGACAGCGAGCTGAGTGCCGAGCTGCAGAGCGCCATGTGCGGCTCCTACAGCGGCTGTCAGGACGGATTAGCCATGCGGAGCGTGGCGGCCATGTCCGTCAGCCAGGAGAGCATCGGCACGCGCTCGCGGGGCTCGGGACACTCCCAGGAGCCACCGGCCTCGGGGGCCACACGCAGCCGCTCTCAGGAGAGCCTGGGCAGTGGGGACAGCGGGGGCAGCCGCTCGAATGGCAGCCCGGGGAAGGAGCGCAACATTCCTGAAGGCCGGGACCAGCGGCAGGCCCTGCAGCCCAAGATGGAGCTTTTTCAGCAGACCGCCCCCAGTGCGACGCCTCCCCACACCCCCAGCAAGGCGCCGGGGTTCATATACCCATCCATACCGGCGAAGCCCATGTCCGGCGGCTCTTTGGCCCTGGCTTACCAGGGCACCTCCCAGGGCCCCACTGCTAAGAAGGCCTTCAGCTACCTGCAGTCCCACTGTGGCAGCTCTGACGCACCGGGGGCACCCAGGCTGCCAGTGAACGGTGACTCCCTGAGGCCCAAGAAGCGCACCCAGAGCCTGACGCGCTACGCGCTGTCGGACGGCGAGCCCGATGACGATGAGCTGCCGGCTACGCCCTCGGGGACCCTAGCATCCTACGCCACCCTGACACGGCGGCCGGGCCGCAGCCAGCTAGCCCGCCTGCACTCCACCCCAGAGGGCACCGTCGGCCGCAGTCAGTCGTTTGCCATCCGAGCGCGGCGGAAGGGACCTCCCCCGCCTCCGCCGAAACGACTGAGCTCGGTGAGTGGCAGGACCAGCTCTGAAACGCCCGCAGCAGTGCCCTCCAGTGGAGTGGAGGTGGATAGTGCAGGCAGCGTGAAAAGCATATCGGCCATGCTGGACCCCACGGGTTCCCGTGTGGGAACAACCCCGGTGCCCTGCAGACTGGACAAGCCAGGGCCAACAAAGGAACTCGCGGCTACCCCGAAACCTGCCTCCCCGGTGCCGCCTCCAAAGCCAGCGCTACCAGCAGAGCTGAGGGAGCCAGCAGGAGGCCGGAGGCGGACGGTGAGCGAGCCGGCAGCGTGTGAGACCAACGAGGGCAGGGCCGACAGCGGCGTGCACTCCGACATGGAGGAGGACAGCAGGGTTGGGCCGGACATGGAGAGCTCCTCATCGCCTCAGCACAGCTCCAGCGAGTGCATCCCCTTTGCTGAGGAGGGCAACCTCACCATCAAGCAGCGGCCCAAGACCGGTGGGCCCCTGAAGCCGGATTCCACTAGTAAAGATCCTGAGAAGGCCCAGGTGGTCAAGACCCCCGACGTCCCCGAGTTCAATCTGAAGGAGTCGGACACGGTCAAGCGGCGCCATAAGGCCAAAGACAAGGATCCCCCAAAGGAGGAGGCGCCACCTGCTGGCCAGCCTAGCGGGGCACATCCAGAGAGTGACGACGCGGTCAGCCGGAGGATCGCCGAGATCGAGAAGAGCCTTCTCAGCTTAGAGAAGGGGAGTTCGGCTGGACGGCCGGAAAAGCCCCCCCTCTCCCCGAAACCCGCCAGTCCTGAGAAACCCCCTTCTGTGCCTCTTCAGGTCCCTGCGTCACCCTCAGGTAGCGCCACTGCATGCACACCACTAAGTTTTTATTTTATATTTTTAATAAATATCAGATTTGTTGTCATGGGTTGCTTCCCCATCCTGGGTTATTCCCTGCCTTATACTGATAGCTTCTGGGATAGGCTCCATACCCCTGTCCCTGTATAGGACAGGCAGGTAGAGAAAATGGATGGATAAAATAATTTGCACATGCCCTCCTTAATTTTTTCTGTGCTGTCTGTCCTGTCACTGTCTGAACTTCTGATTTGCTCCCAAAAGCTCGAGTCCCCAATGTGACCCTCAGCGTGGTGCAGAGCGTGGCCTTCGTGGCCTCCTCACCTGAGCCCGGCCTTTCCCACCTGCTGAGCCCTCACGACTCGGCCCCGGTGACAGGGAGGGTGGGTGTGTCTCTGGGCCGGCAGCCGGGCCCGACCTCCAGCACGGTGGTGGTGAAGCGCCTGGAGCAGACCAGCAGCTCCCTGGAAGCGGCACTGAAGGCCGTAGAGAGGAAGCTGACACTAGAGGGCAGCACTGACAGGTGAGGGACGCCTCTGCCGCCAAAGGCCTCGCGTGACTCTGCCAAAAGCAAGGCAGCATACAGTATAAGCAACTGTGCTGTGTTTCTGCTTCAAAGACACCTTTTCTTGGTGTCCAGTAAATGCTGTAATGGTCTGTAGATTTACATGCAGATGAGGTTTATAACTCTGATGTCTGTCCTACAATGTCAATCCACACAGTTCTGCCAGCATGGCGAAGTCCGCTGGAAACATCCTGGATGACATTGGGAACATGTTTGACGACCTGGCTGACCAGCTGGATGCCATGCTGGACTGAGCTGCACCCTGTCACAGACCCTCCTAGGCTTTTCAGCCTTGAAACTCTAAACTTCACCACCCAGCTGTCAGTTTGGGCTCTTTGTGATTTTTTATTTTTTTTTGTTTTAGTATATATATTTTTTTTAAATGCACCATCGGGACACTAATGCTATGGTGTCACAACGGAAGCACTTAAAATGCTGCTGTCTGCTGGGCCTAGAGGCGCCACGTGAGAGCTGTACTGCTGTGTAGGGACGCGAGGTGGGGGGGGGGGGCTAAAAGCAAGCGGAACTGAGGACTGAGGTGGAGCGGAGATGTGGGCTGACGGGGACTCGGGCAGAGAGGGGGGGGGGGGGGGGGGGCACGCCAAAGATGGGCAGCTATATGAGCCCCCCACCCAGCATTGGGACTCTCTTGTCACTTTGCATGAATCTCTCTTTCCTGCCTCCTCATTTTCCCAGCAGCACCTGGAGCCGGTCTGATTAACAGAGCTGTTTAAAATGCTCCATCACTTTACAAACACAGGTGGGGTGCAGGTAAAAATGCTCTATATTTCTTGTTCTGCCAGCTTAAAAGCCTTAGACATACTGCAGTATTAGGAAGTATTTTTCATAGTAAAAAAAATCATAATATAAAACATTAATGTATAATTAAGTGTTTTTTATATCCTTGCTTATTTTCTCGTTACCTCATGCTGATTGGAATGCCTTTATTAAGGGCCTGAGAGAAATCTCCACCCAGGCCAGACCAAAACTCAACTGTGGGACGAAGGAACATAGAAGCACATAGAAGATGATTCCATGTTCCTGTTCTGTAAAATATTTACATAATGGTGTTTTTATTTTTATTTTTAAACTAAGGGAGCATCAGTTTTTTGTTTTTTTTTACAACTGTTAACAAGACTTTATGAAATTATGGAGTTTAAATGGAAAAAAATATTCAGTGGCTAATTACTATAATATTAGTAATATTAACTATTTTGTCTAATTTAGAATTAGTATATATTTTAACTAAGCCCTCTGTGTATAATATGTATATGAAATATTACCCATATGTACTTCCTTCATATGTTGCTAAGAAGGTGAATGTAGTTTACCAAAGTCCTTTGCAGAACCTTTCCTCTAAATGGTGCATACTTTAGCATTTCAACAAGTAAAAACAGGTTTATTGTTGTCACAGAGAGCACTATTTTGTGAGAGATAGGCACAATTATTCAGCCATAACTGAGAGGGAAGTGGAGTCATCACTCCCAGAAACTTCATTAGTGAACACTAATGTATGACCACATCAGGCCACATGGTAAGTGATAGTATCTGCCAGTGTTTCTCTGTCCTGGTCCCTACGGCCCACTCTGTGCTGATGTGCCATTCAGCTGAGTGTGGCTTTAGTGTAAGACTGCAAGATTTGATTCACAATACTAAATAATATTATAGTTCAGGAGTTCATTTAAAAAAAAAAAAAAAAAGTTTCATGCAGGCGCTAGTAAATGTCAGAATTTGAGAAACTTAAAGCCTGTACTTAATTATCAAGTTGATAATCAAGTAATTCTTCATAAATTCATTCATTTTAAGGGGAAAAAGCTATAGTTAGAACTTTATTTCAGACAATTTACTATGTGACTGGAAAATTAAAACAATTTAAGCATTTTAGCATTTGGAGAAATGATTTTAATTTACTCAATGAATTAAGCTTTATCAGTAAATAAATCACAAGGAGCAGGACTGAGAAATACTGATACTGAAATATAGCAAATTATAGAGAAATTTATAGCTAGCGCATCGTTGCATTATATCTGTTTTGTCATAAATTCCACATTTTATTACTGTACATTTCTTAAACTGTGGTGACTGTGGTTATATCATGGTTTTCTGTGTAATTCACAGGCCCCGTGTGCAAGAACGTCACTGTGAGTGGTGATGATCAGGGTTTTCTCCAGTCCATCTTGACAGAATACTGGCTTATTAGTTGCATTCAGACTGATCTGTTTTGCGTTTGTTAACTCGCAGTTGAGTTTCAAACATATTTTGAAAAGTGATTACAGTTCACTTGTGAGCACATAATTTAATACAAAAAATAGCTTTTTTAGGGTTGTGGAACCTACATGATGTATGTTTTTGACTTGCTTTTGCTGTATAGTTTTCCATAGTGTCAGCATACTGTACTTGTTCCCTAACCATGAGCTGCTTCATTCCTACAGTTAACTAGCATATGCTCTGACTAACTGGTTTCAGTTGTGCTGAAACAGGTTAAGGCCAGTTTTAAGGAGCTGATGCCTGGCTGCTTGTATGCAGCTGAAGCACCTTATGACAACTGGTCAAAATGCAATTCAATAAATTCTGATAGAATTATACAAATTGGTATATACAGCCTTTCTTCTTGACATTACACACACAGTGCTGGGACCCAGCATCACCCCCATGTCTCTGATGACAGCACTGACAATTCTTCAAAGCTGCAGTGAAAATCAGCATATTTATTTCTGAACAGTTTTCTTTGAGTAAGATGGATGGCCAGTGAGGGGGAAAATTACTGTACTAAAACTGATTACACGACTCATTTTGAATAAACACAAATTTAAAATCCCAACATGCTCATCCTGTAGACACAGGCATACTTGGTCCTGTCCTTGCAGTTTAACAGAATCAATACAACATTTAAAACATGACTGTAGACTATTATACATACAGAGTTTACAAAATTAAGTATTGATATTGGTTAAAACAAAAAGAAATGTGGAGATGTGATTCGGGGAGCAGCGGCACACTGGTTAACCCTGGTTGCCTCAGATCTCTAGGACCGGAGTTTGAATCTCCACCCCGACTGTGTGTGTGTATGCAGTTTCCATGATCTCCCCATGTTGAGGTGGGGTTTCCTCCCACAGTCCAGAAACATACTAAATTGAATGAGTTGCCAAATTTTTGATAGATATGAATTGTGTGTGTTCCCTGCAATGGGTTGGGGCCCCATCCTGGGTTATTCCTTACCCAATGCCCATAGATTCCGGGATAGGCTCTGGACCCTGAATAGGACAAGCATGTACAGAAGATGTATGATCCATGGAAGAAGTGGTACAATAGTACTATTAAGAGCAACAATGAAAGGTTAAATATTACTCCTTTCACATTTTTCAGCCATGTTTTGGCTGATGTAGAATATTCAGTCTTAATGCATCAAAATTCAGCTCAACAAATGCACTGTGTGGCCTGTTTGGTCAAATGAAGGAGGTTTAGGTACAAAGTCCTGATAAGGATTAGCCAAGTGGAAAACGAGCCCTGAAGGGTTCTAACATTTCCATGAAAGGGGAGCAGAGTTCAGTAATTAACATATTTGTCTTACCTAAACAGTGTGCTGGTGGAATAAACCACACGTTACCATGAAATATGCATGCTATCAATTCGACATCACCTTAAGAGGATCTTTATCCATTTTTTAAAATATTTTTTTATTCGTTCCCAGACACCTTCCTAGTCCTGAAGCTATATTCTGCTCTTCAGATTCAGTGCCTGCAAACTCCTCCTTGAATCATTTGAACTCAGGCTAACAAAGCCGGCATTGGAAGAAGGGAAAAACAGTAAAGTTATTAGTGCTAAGAAAAGGCAGTGGCTCAGTTTTATAAAAAATTAACTTAAGAAACAATTATCTGTACCATAGAGGAATGTAAAGGTTCCACAGGCAAGATGTGAAAATTAAAAGACAAAAGAATAAAATTATTGCCCTGTTTGCCAAAGATTTTACAGTTTAAATTAAGACAGAAAATACCCCTTTAAAAGTAAGGGTGAATCATGAAATTAAAAAAAAAAAAAAAAAACATTCAAACCTTCTTAAACAACATGCTCTATCAAGCCTTGATAAATCACACATCAGCACTCAATTCACTAATTTCAAATAAATTTCCCTCTACAAAGAGGGTTTCCTACTCTTTTAAACACTGGATACAAATATAAAGATTATGGTCCCTACTATAGAAATATAGTGTCTTTCATTCTTACTGGCAGCTTGTATTTTAGCTGACTGGGCAATACATTTGTTACACAGTGGAAATCACAGCAGGTGGGGCCATCCTGCTTCCCCTGCAGCTGTCCTATAGGTTGCTGAAGAGCTCGTTCCTCTTGCTCCAGTCCATGGGTGGGGCTCTCTTGTTGGAACGTTTCTGACGCGCTCGTTCCTTGGCCTGCTGGAGGGACAGAGTCAGGGCTGGGGCTGCGTCGTCCACCTTTGTTTCCTGAGGCACATGCACTGGCTGGGGACTTGGGATGGGCTGCTGAAAACAATTCGAGGGAGACAATGGAATTTTAGGTATGGTGTTTAAATAGTTAACAGTACATGACCATGTGCTCAAAAAAGAAATCATGATCATTATTATGGTTATTCTAATGAGGACACCAAAACACACCCCTGATTTTTTTAAACACTGATATTTATATATTTTAAGCAATTTCCCTCCTGGGATCAGTAGTTTTTTTCCTGATTCTTTTTAAAGAGAACTAGTTTTTGTTATCAAATTTAATCTGTTTTCTTGGCTTGACTTCAGGAATCAAAGTGGGAAGCTTACAGACCATTGCCGATGTGTATGGGTGTGTGAGAGTGTATGCGTGTGTGTGAGAGTGTATGCGTGTGTGCGAGAGTGTATGCGTGTGTGCGACAGCTCACCGCTGGGGCCTCGGCACTCTGCTGCTGTGTCTCTCTAACAGCAGCACTGGAGATGATACTACTTGGATGGCTAACTGTGGTGTCCAGCTCTTTGGCCATTTTCCCATTAACCTGAAAAGTCCCAAGAAAGGAGGATCAATACGATGCTCAGGGTATGAGCAGCTGGCAAACAAAATGCTGTTGTTAAATGCATGTCTGTTAAATTATTTTTCAAAGAGGGGAAAAAAACATGGTTTAGAGCAGGGGCGGCCAATCTTATCCAGAAATGGTCGCTGTATATGTGGGTTTTTTACAACTCCCCAATTAGGTTACTAATTAGAGAACCGATTGGCTGAAGAGTCCTCACGTCTGGGCTTGAACACCTGACCTAAAGGTTATCCAAAAACCTGCATACACACTGGCCCTTTGCAGATAAGATTGGCCACCGCTGGTTTAGGACATTAAAATTCCACTAGGGGGCAGGCTTGACCATAAAACTCTACATATCTACTATCATTCCACTGAACATTGTGAGCAAGAAGTGGGACTCGTTTTCAATAGCAGGAGTTGAAGCAGCTACTATTCGTCATTGTCCTGTTGACAGTCCACCTCACCACTGGAGGCCACAATGCCAATCATCAGTGTTATTGTAAGCAGAGATAAATTATGGCTCCTTTAAACTGATTTACAAAGATTTTACACTCAAAAATAAGGATGATACTTTCAGAAGTATAAACCAATTGTCAAACTCTGGGTAATGGAAACCACAACAGTAATGAAATTCACTTTATTAACCCATATAGGCCCGCTTTCCTTTCATGTCCTTACTAATCACAAAATCCAAAGCACAACCATTTTGAACTTCTACTACACTGAAGAATTAAACAGTCTGTAAAATGTCAAGTCCAATGAGACCTTGAGTTTGAGTTCTATGGCTCATGCTGTGAGTCGACTGAGGATTAAATTTTAATAACGTATACTTGCTGCCGTATTAAATGTTTCTAGATCATTTTTTCCCATTTTACCATGCGACACAGGCTTTTATGACATTGAGATAATCCACCATGCAGCTCCAGCCTACCCACCATGCTGAACAACATCGGTCAAAGCCTTTCCGTCTTCTCCAATGCCTTATTAATTGCACGCTGAAATGCTCTTCCTTAGCAGCGAACACTTGGTGCCTTTCTAGTAACAGGTGGCCCCAGAGAGCTCATCTTCCCACCTAATTCACTGAGATTACCTCGGCTTACGGGGCCCGACTGAAAGCCCCAAGTGGTTTGAACCAGTGTGTGCACTGTGACGTTACATTAAAGAGAGGGACAAAGAAACAGGGTAACTGCTATATTAGCATACCCCACTAAATTTCATATTCTAGTAACTAGACTCATATTTGAAGCTACATATTTTACTTTCTAGTACCTTGTGTTTTAAACAAGAGAGAGGTAAGTGTCCCCATGTGACAAACCACCTCAGGGCTGAGCACCTAAGTGGAGCCTTGTGACCTTCCAGTTACTGGCACAGATCCCTAGCCTCAGAGCCACCACTCTACCCTCACGCAACCCCAACATTTTTCCAAGCAAAGATCTGTTTTGCGTGGATAGTTTTAGCCCTGTGCGCAACTGTGGTTCTAAAGACAAATTAAGGATCTTATCCAACAGGCCACACATCTGAGGTGTGGTATGAGAAGAAGCATACAAGCCTTATCTCAAAGGTATGGTTGGGGTGTTTCTGTAGAAATGAGATTTATCTCCTTTTGCCGGTCTGGAATGCAAAAGTCAAGCATTGAGCTAAGCTGCAGAGACATGCATGGAAAACTCACAAAATAGAGGAGTGTCCTCTGCCAACTCCACTGGAATAGGTTTCTATCTGCAGTCGATTCCATTACCCTTACACTCTTACTTGCCATTATAGGATATAACCCAATTCTGAAAACAAGAAAATCCTTGCATGCTTGTCCGCCATACTCTTTCCACTGGCAAATTCCCAACTTTCTACATACATCATTAGTCAAGCATCTAGTTTATTTAGCAAAAACAGTTTCAGGTGAAACAAAGTATCAGCAGATTTGATCTAATCTGTAGGTCTGTCAGTCCAAGTAAGCAAGAAGCCTGTGAAGAGCTGTAAACTTTGGGCACAGCGCCCTGATGTGGGACCCCACCCAAGGCCTCCCAAAGGGACCCCCCCCCCCCGCTTTTGGGATGCCTCCAGTTCCTTTGTTTCTTTACAGAACAAAAGGTCCCATCAGGACCATGTCTGCCATCAGTACAACACAGGCAGACAGACGATCCCCAACGTATAAACAAATTGTCCCATTCCAGCCAAGGGTCTCCACTTTGCACAGTTTGTGTCACTTTTTCACAAATATTTGTTGTCTGGGCTTTTGTGGGTCTTTTCGGGGAAAAAAAAAATATACAATAAATTTACTCACCATGTCCTCCGTCTCTCCATTGGTCACAGGCTCAGGCAGAGGTCCTGAAACAACAAAAGCAAAGATGGGTTATTCTTTATTGGGAACCGAAATCTCCCAGCACAGCACAAGCATCAGTTCATCTATCCATATGTGTTCCATGGACCACAAGCCTAACATTTTTACTGCTTTAAAGGCTACTCCTACATTTAGCACAGATTGGCATAATGAGGGTGGACTGCTAAGCAATAATACCCAAACTAAAATAAAGCTTTAAGCAGAAGGTTACCCACTACTTTCAGCTGTCTCCTCTGGTTAGACTCAGAAGCCAGTAGACGAGAAACCCAGAAATCACTGGCCAAGAGATCAAAATTAGTGTGTGAGAATCATCTCAGCAGTACATATTTGCGAGACTGGATTTGCTAGACTATAATATATTATAAAATTGGAGCAAACTATATATAGAATTGTCTGTTGCCTACAAGTGAACAAACAAATAGGAGACACCAGAATAGAGCTGCCGGGATTAGTCGACGTAGTCGATGATGTCAACGCATGGGCTTGCTGGGGCCAGTGTTATTATCGTAAAATAAAACTGAGAGGAAAACGGAAACATTTTAAAAAATTGTTAACTGAAATAAATCAGCAAAAAGTACCGCCACGCCATCAGCGTCTTTTTGCCTAGTTTAACCACAATATCTCCCTCTTTTAAAAGATGTAGTTGCTAAGCTAGGCCTTTCTTCACCGCGACATTAGTACTTACTTCTTCCAAAACAGTAGCATGTGGGGCTCCGCTAACCGAATTTAATAAGCACAAAGATACGACAAATTTATACAGATTACTATCTTCTGGTCATTACAATACGCATATCATTTATATTTTAGGCATACAACTAATCTGCTTATCGAATTGTGGGGGATTTACGTCCGTATATTGCCGAAAAGCGGGCGTCTATCTAAAGCCCTGCAAAGACATATAGTTTATTGTTGTCAAATAACATTAACTTAAATTAAAACGGTCAATTTGATTTTCTGGAACAAAATTAATCGTTTAGGTTAATCGACCAATCGGTAAAATATTCGATAGATGAATCCATAGAAAAATAGCCCTACACCAGAACACAAAAAATGCTACATATTTTGCCTATAATAGTTGTACTTATCTAGAAGTGCATCACTCAGTGTAGCTCATCAATAACCAGAGAAACACAAACCAGGCAGAGGCAAAAGGCAGCACTTATTAGGAAGAGACACACAATATGGAGATATTACAGGGGGTGGGCATGCTGTGCTCCAGACATGGCACACAGACATTGGAGGAGATGACAGAGCTGGACAGCCAATCAACAGGAAGGAAGCACATTCTGTGCCAAGTCTGGGGGGGGTGCTGTGACCACACAATTAATAACTTCTAAGCCAGCAGCCAGACACAGTGATAAACATTTCTCCTTAGTTAATGTGTAACTTACAAAGTTAACACACCTTAAAAAAAATGGAATTGCACTAAATGAACTTCAGAATACCTTCAACCATCCCACTCAGCTTGGCTATGAGTGATTGCAAGCCAAAGAGTGACTTTCTCCTCAAAACAACTCCAGCCTCTGAATAACAGGAAGACTTGGGAACTGGGAGGTACCATGAGCTAACTGAAAGAGTCTGGCTCAATCTACTCATTACATCCTGTTCATTCAGACTTTCCAGAAAAATAAACACTTCCAAGCACAATATGGCTTCTGATCGGTTACATTATAACTGCGTTAACATTAAATATAATACTGTTTAATTTTCTGTCAGGGATAAAAACAGATTCTTATAACAGATTCTCAAAACCAAACATATGAAACATCTTCTCTCAGGGTGTTTCCTACACACTGTCTGTCGCTATGGCCACAGCTGGCATGTCTTATCCGTGCAAGCAGATTGTTGTTGAAAAATATTCTGCAGCGTTTCAGCAGAAAGGTTTAAAATTTAACCACAGCTTGAGGTTTCTCCGGAGAGGTTACCCTGCTGAGTTCTTCATGAGCAGCGGGGAACAGTTACTGTGCCACTGAAGCTGAGAATGAAGCTGGCGAAATATCCGGAAACAGAGAGAGACACATGCTCAGTGTCCCTTCTAGGACTCTTCCTATTAGATCCTTACTACTGACAGCCCCAAGGGTAAAGTAAGGGAAGCAGCCCTTCAGGACAGAAGATATTTCAAGTGGTTCAAAGCTTCAATAATGCGAATGGCTTCAAAATGTATTCAGTAAGATCTTTTTCATATGAAGATATAAAAAAGGCCGCAGAATAGAAACCTAGACCAATTTGATTTGGAAGCATTTTTAACACAATAAGTGTAAAACACGGCAGCGTGGGCTCTGTGCCTCTCCCCGTAAGCACACCTGTCAGATGCTTCTCTGTGGGGGTGGTCTTGCAGCTCTTGAAGAAGTTGTCCGTCTCGGAGTCTACCACCAGCAGACTGGTCTCGTTGCCCCCAGCCTTGATGGCTGCGACTACGTCCGAGTGCTGCTTCCCTTCCATAGACATTTCATTTACCTGGATGGGGCAGAGTCAGAAAACAGTCAATGAGTTATCCAATGTCACCTAATGGCCTACTCTCGCGCCAAATAAGAAACTAAAGGCCGCTCTGGCAGGATTTAATCATTCTTCCACTGCAATCAGGAATCGAGACACTGACTTAGGTCATGAGGAAGTTATAAATATTATTCACTAACACATAAGTCACTGAAAAAAAGTCTTAATACAAAACAGTAATATTTAGCTGTGTTACTAAAATTGAAAACACTCAGGGTAAACAGAGCCTTTGGCTGCAAACAGAGGACACGGTTTCTGTCAAAAATTATAGTAGCATCCATTGGATAAATCTGAAATGGATACGTGATCCATGCAAATAATGTTCGTAAAATGAAAAAATTTCAAAGATTTTAACAAAATATCCAAACAAAATTTAACCAATGTCAGAATGTCTGAAAGTAGTCTTGGACCCTGAGGACTAACAGAAAACTTCAGCATAAGACCATAATGGACACAGTCAGCTTTGTGGAATGGCCTGGTAGGGAAGAACATTATAAAAGGTCCCTGTTGTCTCCTAGAAGACTCAGCTAGTATTTCTCCATGGACATTGTCCATTCACTTCACCTGAGCATTAGCTAAAGGAATTTATCTACAAATGCTAGTTATTGTTATCTGTTGCCAGTAGTTTATATCTGCCGATATGAGACTATTCCAAGTTAGATGTTTGCCACATTTATCATGGAGGCAATAGATCATTCTGTTTATTGTACTATTATAACAAACCAGTAATATGGGAGATGTCCGGGATTATCTGCAGTTCAGCTAAGAAACAGACAAATACACTTACTGAAGGATGACCTTTGGTTAGCATCTCTCAGTTTATAAAATTGTTGTTCTAGCATGTCCAAATTATTACATCAGGTTCCATTTTGCCTTAACACCGCCCAGAATGACAACAGAAAATTATGCATTCTTAAAGACGCAAATTGTGTGGTTAAAATCCTATTAAAGACAGCACAAGTAGGGCTATTTCTGTCATGTTAACCAAACACTAACAACTGTAACACACAGTTTCTCAGGCACAGATACAGTATTATACTGAGCCAAAGACAGCTAATAATAAGCATAAGCTGGGCTGACAGCGAGCACGCAAACTGAGCGATAACCGCTAAGCTAATCAGTGCCGCTGTAAAAGAGAGAAACATTGGCCTTGGACTCCGCAGCAGCAGACAAAGGACACAGGCAAAGTTCCCCAATGTCAGGATTCATTCGTCATCATTATCAATCCCCGCTCCTGCACGTCCAAGAAGGAAACCCTGCGTCTACTTTATTAACCACAGAAAGGCACACCCACACTCACCAACACCAGCAAAAAAAAACCGTCTTCAGGAAATCCGTGTTGGGGGGGCGGGCGTGTAGGGGAAAGACTAAGGGTTCTAAATCACTGTGGAATGGCTGGATCAGAGTGCTATTTTTGTCAGTGTAAGACCAGCACGGCCGGGAGGGCGAGGCTGCGGTACAGGGCGCCGACGTGTCTCCGCTCCGCTACTGAGGTGGGCTTCCGGAATGCCTCACAGGCCATGCTGAGAGACGGAGGCGGCGCGCTCCCTGTGCGCTCGAAGGGAGCACCAGAGCCACCTGCAGATGCTCCATTACGTGCCTCGGCTGTTTGTGAGTGACACGTCATTCGTATGTAGAGCTCGTCTGCTCAGTGGACGCCCCCTTATACACACACATGGCTCACTGAAGCCGTCACCGACTGTAAATGATCTTCCTGACATTTCACCTAGCCTGCATATTACAATAGCATGTGTGCGTGTGTATGAACGGGTACAGACTGAAAACAAACGATAAAACCCACTAGCAAAGCTCTGTATGTTGACACAGTAAAACTTCACAAAAAACAATGGTGGACACATCACGATATGACTGATGACAAATATTTAAAGAGTTTAAAACTTTATGACGACAACTGCTAATGGTGGTGCTTCATTAACTAAAATGTCAACCTAGCATTCAGGAAGTACTATTACCATCACAGCAGTAGTGCAATAACAGGCACAGATGCCTATAAAAAGTGTTTATCGGGCTGTTCTTTCAGCTAATGCTAGGAAGAACCCCTAGATAACAGGTTTTAAACCAAAGAAAATGGCCTAGATGATCATTATGCTCTTATTTAAAAACCTTAGGCTAAGGAATTAATATGGTGATACAATGCAATCAATTAATAATTTAAGTCTGTTGAAGTATGAACCCAACATAAATTAATGAACCCTACAGCACTGAGTACAGGATAAATACACTTTTAACCAGGTCCTATTTACTCCTAGATGATAAAATATGGTGCTCCAGTCCAGGGGTGCCACCCTCCTATTTTACATTTTACTTGTGTGCACAACTATTCCCAGTTACACATCTGCTATGTAGACATAGTCATTACTCACACGAGAGGACTCAGTAGGGAACCTGATGTTTTGTACATGTACGCATTCTTGTGGAGTGGGTCTCTGAAGCAGGAGGACTTCCTGCGTGTAGGAGAGCCCGGGGGCGGAGGGGGGAGTAGGGTGTGCCCCCGGCTCAAGCCAGCCATGCAGCGGAAACTCAACAATGCAAGTCGTGTAAACACGGCGACGTCGACAAAGTCATTTTATGCAAAAGCCGAAAGGTGCGGGGGGGGGGGGGGGGTTACAGGCAAGGCCGTCGCAGCTTCCATTCGTGCGTCGGGAATTAGATACAGCTGCGATCCGACGCTAGTTTCATGGCACACAGCTCTGCCTTTTTTGTGGATTCCTGCATGCAACAATGAAGAGGTGTTTTCTTAATGATCCAGCAGGAACTTCAGCCTGAGTCAGTAACAGCCTGTGGTGTTTGTCTGGAGAACCAGGTCTGAAGGCTTTGTTACCTTCCACTGAGACTAAAGAATCCTGCCTATACACCGCCACAGCTTCAGGTTTCATTTGGCCTTTTTAAGGCCCAACTATGTTCAAATGTAGGTGAACTGGAAAGAATGCATCATTATTACTGATCTATCGCTTCACACAGCACTCTAGATATTCGGTGGATTTGTTGGGCATATGCATATACAACCCCATTTCCAGAAAGGCTGGGACACTGTGCAAAATGTGAATAAAAGCAGAACGCAATGATCTGCAAATCATATAAACCCATATTTAATTTAGGGAATTTGGTTGTTTTATAAGAAATATATGCTCAATTTGGAATTTGATACCAGCAACACATTTCAAAAAAGTTGGGACAGGGCAACAAAAGACTGGAAAAGTTGTGTGATGCCAAAACAAAACACCTGGTTTAATATCCCACAACTAATTAGGTTAATTGACAATAGGCCAGTAAGATGATTGGGTATAAAAAGAGCGTCCCAGAGCGGCAGAGTCTCTGTGCAGTGAAGCTGGGGAGAGGTTCACCACTCTGGAAAAGTCACAAAATAGTGCAACAATTTAAGAATAATGTTCCTCGATATAAAATTGCAAAGAATTTAGGATTTTTTTTCTTATATGGTAAATAATATCATTAAAAGATTCAGCGAATCCGTAGAAATCTCTGTAAGGGACAAGGCTGAAAACTAGTACTGGATAGCCGTGATCTTCGGGTGCTCAGGCTGAACTGCCTTAGAAACAGACATTTCTATAGTGGAAATCACTGCATGGGCTCAGGAACACTTCCGAAGGCCACTGTTTGTGAACACAGTTCATTGCTGCATCCACAAATGCGGGATGAAACTTTACCATTCAAAGAAGAAACCATATCTAAACATGATCCAGAAACGCCGCTGACTTCTCTGGGGCCGAGATCATTTAAGGAGGCAAAATGGAAAACTGTCCTGTGGTCTGATGAATCAAGATTTCAAATTCTTTTTGGAAATGATGGATGCTGCATTTTCTGGACTAAAGAGGAGAGGGACCATCCAGCTTGTTATCAGTGGTCAGTTCAAAAGTCAGCATCCATGATGGTGTGGGGGTGCATTATTGCCCATGGCTTGGGTAGCTTGCATGTCTGGGAAGGCACCATTAATGCTGAATGATATATACAGGTTTTGGAGCAACATATGCTGCCATACAGATAATGTCTTTTTTTAGAGAAGGCTTTGTATATTTCAGCAAGACGATGCCAAACCACATCCTGTGAGTATTACAACAGCATAGTTCCATAGTAGAAGAGTCCGAGTACTAGACTGGCCTGCATGCAGTCCAGACCTGTCACCCATTGAAAATGGTTTTCTGCATCATAAATCGAAACATATGACAAAAGAAGACCCTGGACTGTTCAGCAGCTGAAATCCTATATCAGGCAAGAACGGGACAATATTTTACTTTCAAAACTCCAGCAACTGGTCTCCTCAGTTCCCAAACGCTTAATGATGATGATAATAATAAAAAATCAATACTTTATTAATCCCCATTGGGAAACTGTCTTTACACCCACCTCAACCGGCTCTTTGTAGAGTACCGGTGACCTTGTGATTACAGGCACACAGGTTTAGCCCACTGAGCCACACGCCGCTTACAGTGTTGTTTAAAGAGAGCAACACAGTGGTAAACATGCCCCAGTACTAACTTCTTTGTAACGTGTTGCTGGCATCAAATTCAGATTGAACATACATTTGTCATAAAACAATAACATTTCTCAGTTTCAACAATTGACATGTTGTCTTTGTTCAATTTTCAATGAAATATGGGTTTATATGATTTGCAAATCATTACATTCTGTTTATATTTATGTGTTACACAGCATGCTAACTTTTAACTTGGAAAGCGTCTGATATGTTACATACGTACATGCTGCTGATGTGTGGACAGATGGTACCATGGCGATCCATTCATGGGTACAGCGTAAGCTATGTACCTTATTACCACGCAAAATGGAACTGTCGTTAGAACAGAGAACACTGGACACTAACAGCACCTGTGATTGCTAAGATAACCAGAGGACGACTAGAAGACAGAGGGGCAGAGCACTTGTGACAGGAGCTTCTGTACCTGCACGATCCTGTCCTGGGGACGAAGGCCAGCTTTCATGGCCGGAGAGTCCTCGTCCACTGCCCGGACGTACTGTCCTGGCTTGGACTTCTCGCTGTGCAGGTTGAATCCATAGCCATTGGTCCCCTTCTTGATGGTACAGAGACGAGGACGCAGCTCTTTTTGAGGTTCCTGTGGATGTACAGCAGCACCGATCAAAACAGCCCTTTCGACAGAATCACTGTATTTATTCATCCATTTCGATTCATTAACGTCACACATGCACCTATGAACATGCTACAGAAAAACAACATGTGCTGGTTGACTGCCTGGCTAAGGTTTGGTTGCATACCAGCAAAAATGCCACCCTTATGAGCAGTTTCCTCACATGTGGCACCTCCCTAGCAACAGGGAAAGAATGCAGAGGGTGGTGGACTGTGGAGGTGTCTTCAAACGAAACGGCATGACCTTCTGCTGTCCTCCCACTACTCTTGGAAGGTTTAATCACTGGAAATGCATTCTGTCGGCTGAATAAGTCACACAGAATGATTGATGGCAAAAGTGTAGATATTCCATTTTTAAAATTCTCCCGTATCACTTAAAAACTTTCCTGTGGATGTTACTTCACTGTAATGACTGCACTCATATTCATATTCAGTTTCTGGAACTTTTCCAAGGCAATCCAAAAAAAAAGAAAAACAAAAAAAAAAACCAAGCAGCAGAGGCAACGACAAGTTGATGTGTCAGGCACCATGCTGGCTGCTCTGGATTAAATATTTTAGATATTTCACTAGAGCCGTCCACTTCGGACCAGGACACAGCACGCAGTGTGTCATAATACTAACTGACAAATAACTGCAGTGGTCCTTTGCATTTATTCAATAGCCAGCTCTGTAAGCCTGTGAATATAGCTGGGTGTTAACATGCAGGAATTCGGGGGATTATGGACAGAGAGCACAGGGCTGTGGAGTAGGTCTATTCAGATGAGCAGCTTGTTATGCTGCCTTGTACGCTCCAAGTATGCGAACTATCCCCTCAAGGAAGCCTCCCACACATCACTACAATGCCAGCCTCCACTACAGGAGAAATAATGCAAAACGAAAAACACAAACAAACACAATGGTATCTGTGTAAAACAAAAACGAAAATCATACCTCTGACAAATGAACGTCCCTGCTGAGAGTGAACACTAAGCCTTCCCCGGGCATGCTTTCCACATGAGGCCGTGCGTTCAAAGCTATACGAAAACAAGGGGCTCCGTCGGGCTGGCATGCCTCAAGGGACGGACTCCTGCAAGCGAACGGGCTGGGGCGCAGCTGAGCAAACGTCACGGCGTTAAAGTCAATTCGGCACGGCGCGTTTACAGACAGGGCGCACTTGTTGAAGATCTCAGGCAGCTCAACGGGTCTAACTGCCTACTAGTGAGGTAAGGCTGTGATCAACAAAAAAAATAAATAAAATAATAAAATTCGGTGGAGTATCCCCATTCATAACTGCTGAAGGTCACCTCTAGGATGCCTCACTGCAAAGGGCCCACAGCATATGCTGCTGCAACAAAACGGAGCCCTGAGACAAGAAGTCTTCCAAGGCTATTTGGGGACAGAGCTGGCTACACAGAACCCTTATTCTCACTCAGCCCATACCGCTGAAGCTTCGTTTTCCAGTTAATGTGCCAAAATGGCCATTAGCACCCCAGCCATCCAGGCAGATATACCCACAAGCGGTTCAACAGTCTGAAAACTCAGATTAGGTTACGTTATAGCAACTGTAAAACTAAACTGCAATTTGCGAATGCAAAAAATCTGTTATTCGCATTCTTTATTCTAAAAACAACAGAGCTGTGCATAAACTGAAGAAAAAAAAAAGAATTTCCGATAAGACACTTGCAAAATTAAACACCACCCAAAATAACAGGTGTCACCATCGTCTGTATTAGACTGACGTTTAAGTGAGACCTTCATCCGAGGACATGACAGCTGAAGGGCCTTACACACACGCGGGCTCATGCAGCCTAAACCACTGCACTGCTGGATGGATTCAAATAAACGCAGAAAGATGAAAGAAAACATACTTACAGTGGTCATTATTACAGCCAGTGCCCTTCTTAGCACCCCCAGCCCGACATGGAGACTCTGCAAAACCTCTACAGCGATGGATCAGCTGTTCCTCCGTCGGCTGTTTTAGTAGATTTACAACACGGTGCAGTGGTACAGTATAAGTGTCTCCGCACCCCAGTGGTGTTGCGTTTCTCACACCGACAGAAAGAGGAACATGGGGGAGTACCACAGTTCATTTTCAGGAAGAGCAGTCATGTCTCGATAATACTGCACAATCCAAACCATAAAAACACAATGTTTGGCCTTAGTGATTCTCACATCACATGGTTACTGATATTACAGTGTCATTATTAATGCCATAAAAAACTGTAACAATAACTAATTATTATTCGGCATTCTGCGACACTTAGCATGGAAAATATGACAGCTACCCTGCTGGTGTTGGCATCTCCTGCCGCTGACGGGCATTTGGCTAATGCCGGCTCGCATCCCCCAGGCACCGGGGCCAAACGGTACCACCAAGGAACAGAGTGCCGGGTCAGACTGATAAAGGATGAACGTTTAGAGAAGAAAAAAAGCTCAAACACCTCAGGGATAGCAAAATCCTAATTAGTGCTTCTCTCATTCCGTTTTCTTTCTTTTATGCACATTTTTCATTTTTTGTAATTTAAATGGCATCCGACTGACTGAAACATCCCTAATTACAGATGCTGACAAAGCAAAAATGTTATTGTACAATGTGCTTAGTCTGACCAAAAAAAAAAACAGGTTTCCTGCAGATGTTTGTTGACAAGGTGAAAGTTGTACCATGTTTCATCAGGGGAACAACAAGTTTCTACACACACAAAACACAGGCTATCCAGATTAACAAGGTCACATTACAGTAAGACTTCACACATGGCAAGAGGTCAAACACGCAAGACCAGAAACCCTGACTTGGCAGAGGCTCATGGAAGGATTCAGAAAATGGAGCAGCCAAAAAAAAGTCAGACTCTGCCTTGATGTCCATTGTCTGTCCCAGCAGGGAAGGCCACAGGAGCTGGCCTCAAACCTGCAGGATCCAGGCCCATGTGGAGCGTTCGGTCGACTGAGCTGAATCGCAACAGGTACCCGAAGGGGACAAGGGCATGAACAGGGGCAATCTGGGAAAGCTAACCCCCCCAACAGAGTTTAATTTTTCCAGCATGTCCCCCTGAGACCCCACCCATTCATTTATGTCCATTGTAGTGGACATTTTGTTTTTGCATCTCTTTTCACTGAGATAGTAGGAGACGTATTTATTCCTGTTGTACACTAAAGAGGACATGCTGTGAAATTAAAAATAAATTTGAAAAAAATCTAAATTGTAAGATGTCTTATTTCCCCCAAAGACAAATAACCTAAAATTGAAGGACCCTTCTTTCCTTGGGTCCATCCAGATCCATGGCATCCAGATCAGCTGCCCCAAGCTAAATGAAAGTGAGGCTTGTACAGAAACCACCCCCAGCCCTCTTCACGTATCAATCCCTAGCAAAATCTCAACCATGCTAAACCAGGCTCACATTAGTCACAGCTGTCTCCCTCGTCCCCAGTGCTCCTCAGCACAGGTGACTGAACCATGGGGTTTTTCATCCTTCGGTTGCAGTCATGGGTGATTAAAAAAAAACCAAGTGACACTTTAGTGCTCAGTAATAAAGATTCCTGAAGAACAGTCTGCGATTTATTCCCTCCCTCAGTTTATATTTCATTGGTTAACCACTAATCACCATCAGGAGATATGTTTAACAAATTATTAACAAATAATTTGACGATTATGGAAAGGCTTTAAGGCTGCTTTTATGAGCTCACCCAAGCTGAGCTGTATGGTTGTTAACCTCTTCCTTGGACTACATACCCCATGGAGAACAAACATAGGAGAACATGCTACGGGCCAATCGTGACCTACTTCCTGAAATGATGCACCTTTACAGTCTTTGTAGTTCCACTACATTCAGCTGAAGCAATCCAGCATAGGTAGGAATTGAGAGTCATGTTTAATTCCACTGCCCATGTTCGAAGGACTGAAAGCAGGCAGGGAGCTTTCGGTTATTCAAGCCAGCGCTGAAGGCTGCAAGCCCAGGGCCAACACACAGCCAACTGCACTGCCAGAGATCCCCCCCCCCCAGTCCTGATGAATAGGCAACTAATCCTATGCGACTGAATCTGACTTTATCCAATTTGCACAGTAAGAGGGGAGGAGATTCCCAGTTCTGGGTAGGGAGAAATGGAGACAAGAAGATGCTGGAGCAGCCAGAGTGCCCAGTATGCAACGTCATGCTGTTTAACCGCATACGGTACATTTAGAATTGCAAATATAGCGACTAAAGACCCGTCTGCACAGAGGGAACCTCCCGGAAGCCGTGTGGACGGCTCGTTGCACCGCTCTCTCACGGCTCCCTGGGAACCGATCTGACAAAGGGCCGCTTTGTCAGCTCACGCCAACCCAGGGCCCTCCTGGGATCAGAAGGAATGACGGCATGGGCTTGATGATGGGCTTTGTTTTAGGGTCACAGTCAGCAGAACGGAAAGGAAAGTGCGTTACCTGGGACAGGGGCAGCCAGGGTCCTACACAGTAAGTCTTTGTTACAGCATCAGCCTGCTTTCTGAGTTTCATACAAATTCATCAGCAACAACAAGAATCACAGGAATTTCAAAGCCCTCAACGTCAACTTAGTTAATGGCAAGACATTGTCAATACAACCACAAAGAAGTAACATCATATAGTTTGTTAAAGAATTAAACAGGGAAAATGCAAAAATGCCCTCAACCAGAATAAGTTTCAAATACTAGGCATCTATCTGCACAATTAAACATTAACAAGATCCTCTTTGATTGATGATGGTTATAGATTAGACTAACACAGAGTACATCAGAGTCAAACCAATGTGCAGCCTAGAATCCACACCAGACAGCAGAGATTTCCTAAAGAGCAGCTGGATCACAAGGCCTGAGCTCAGTGGTAGATGCACTTCTGCCCTAGAGAACACACTAATGTCCCAGTAGACGCACTTCTGCCCTAGAGAACACACTAATGTCCCAGTAGACGCACTTCTGCCCTAGAGAACACACTAATGTCCCCTGCCCAGAAAGGTAACTGCGCATGACATAACATTTAAT